GGTGATGCGTGATCCCACATGTGTTATCCAAATTAAAGCAACCTTTATACATTTAAATTTGTTGTTCACCAAACAGTTTCATTATATCTTTGCGATGTAGAATTATTCCTCCACTTGCATTTTTTCCTGACAAAATAGAATGTGTATGTCTGTCTCTGTGTGTGTGTGTGTGATTAATTCTTTTTTATAATTAACACCATATCGATCTACATTTGTCAAATCTACAATCACGATGTTTGGAAGCAGATGCTCTTCGTTCCTGAAGCTATACGTTGTCTTCTTTTGCTTGAATTGTAATTTTGGTTTTATTGTTCAATTGTTAAACAAGAGCCTTTATTTATTCCTTCACTCTTTTTTTTTAAGAGCATTGTGCACCCTCAAATTATAGGTAGCCCAATGTTGTCTCTCATTTAGTAAAAATAGAGCAAGTCACCAGTTTATTAAATATTTGTTAATTTGATTGTTATTTAACCTAAAAAGTTATAGAAAAAGACTTGAAAATTACAAAAATATGACAAAAATTTCAGAAAATGATGTATAAGAAAATTAATAATAATTAATTAAGTCCCTTAAATAACAAATAAAATCCAAATAAACTAATGTTATTCTCTTAGTGCTAGCGAGATTCAAACTCATGTCTTGTGTTTCAGCTTTGAAAGGTGCTGCTTCCAATTATGTTCAAAAATTTGTATAAAAACATAATAACAAAAGGCTTGCCAGACAAATCAATATAGATTAATTGCAAATTCAAAACTTTTTATTAAGTGGAAGGTGTTAATTATCAATACATGCATCTCATACTGAAAATATTTAAATTCGTCTAATAAGAGTAACTTTTTTTCCAATGGACATCAAAGAAAATCCATTTGGCTTCAAATTTAACAGATAGACATCCATGGAAAAGCTGTTAATCTTAAATCTAGCTTGGGGATAAAATTTGTGCCATTGAATGTTTGAAATTTTTGGTCTGCGTTCAAATTATTAATTGGTTCATCAAAAGGTGCAAAAGTTTGATCTAGCTGTCTTTAGATTTTTTTCCCCTTTGAGGAGACATGTTTGTTCTCGATCAACGAATTTGATATAGCTGTGCAATTAAGTTAATTGATTGAATTATCGTTAAATTGTACTACAATTTTTTTTGAATTTTGAATCATATATATGATATTGAAATTAAATGACAAACCAATCAAGGATAATAGAATATTTGCTAAAAATTGTAAAGTTTAATTAATTCAGCAAATGTCAACAACAGGTTGTCACGGCGGCAACGTCACATATCCCTTGCTTTAAAGAGGTTTTAAGTTGAACTTGGCAGTGACATGTTTGTGTATGCATATTGATGTGCCAGTCTCCGATTCATTTTCCATAAAAAGAGAAAGGTCTAGGTCACGGGTAAAATTAAAAAAAAAATTAAGTTGGCAGATTTTTTGTCAATTATATTTTTATTAAAAAAACAAAGAAAGAAAGAATCCATACATGAGCAAAGATTTAAGAATGTTAAGTGTAATTTATTAAGCCTAAAGTAATTTGCATAGTGAAGCATCAGATGAATGATAACAAGTAGGGCCAATTGAAGACACTGAAAAACTAATGGGGGCGTGGACTTGACTAAAGTAAAAGCAACATGGAGGGCCAAAGCACAACATTCACTATGCCCCTTTAAAAAGAGATGGAAATTAAATGTATTTATGTATGTAATATATCATTTATATTTCAAAAGTACATGAATCTGATCATACATGTATATGGAACTATTAGCGTTTTTCTTTTTTTCCTTTTTAAAAAAATGTATTGTCATTCTTGAAAGACAGGATCGATCACTTCACACAGTACATACTTTCTTTTTTCCTAAAGTTAAATTGCACACAATTAATCAATCCTACTCTTGAACTTTAGGTTTATCTATAAGTAATTTCTAACTTTTAATACCTGACAATATCTTGGTCTATTATTCTCTAATTTAATATCCATAAATTCCATTTTATTTGAATGCATTAATCTCTAGAACATTAAATCATATAGATACTCTTTTCATTTAAAAATGTAAGACATTTTTAATCAAATCTCAACCCTAATAAAGTACTTACCTACTTTTCAACTAATCATATCTTTTTATATTTACTTATATTAAACATCCTATAATAAATATAAAATTATTATCAATAGGGATGTTTTTTAAAAAAAAACAATGATTACACCTTAAAAAATTAAAAATGCTTTATATTTTTGAACATCTAACTTCTCAAAAAATGCCTTACATTTTTAAATGGAGGGGATAGTCAATATAATAATATATTATATTCTCTTTACTGAGATTAACAACCGACTAATGGTATAATTATAATAAGTTGTCTCTATGCAAATTTTAAAATTCAAAAATAAAATTTATATATATTAAAGAACGCACGCATATAAATAAAAATTTAAAGAAATTTTATACAATTCATTATTTTTTCTTTTGATTTTATATATTGGGGTTAAAGAAGCGGTACGTAGCTATATATATATATATATATACACTTTAAATTTATCAATTCACATATTTTTTTATTCTAATTAACATTAATGATTAAAACCTTTAAGAGATAGAGCTCCCTTCAATCTGTAGGTCACATGCACATCTCAAGTGATCTGACTTTTCAATAACACTTCTTTTATTGGCAACTTATTTCAGATAATTAACACTTGAAGCATGCATCAAAATATCCACTACTCCTTTTATAATTAATATATATATATATAATATATCTACTCCACACCACACCACTAAATCAATGCTTGAAAACAACTTTATGAATAATGATCAATAAATTATAAATTTCGTGGGGAGAAAGTAAAGAGTGATGCAATAGGTCGGTTATATAGTCGGTGCAGCCCTAAGTCATATATTGTACACCGAGGGCCTTTCAAGCAAGACTAGTTAAGTTTTTCAGCTTCTCCAGACTGTTCTTTTTTCTTCTTTTTTTTTGGGTATTAAAATTAATAATAGATGACCTAACTAGTGAGTCATTCCACGATACACATTCAAGAATTCAAAAGAAGGAAGACAACACAGGAAAACAAAAGCATAATTGGATGGCTCTAAATCAAGTTCTTAATTGAGAATAGAAGATAACCTTCTCTCCCTTTCTGTCAACATGACATGAATTTGACACTTAACTGTCTTGTCAACAAAGTTATGTTTTTTTTTTAAATTATGCACAACTATATTCTTATATTGAAAGGCAATCATGTATAAAGCAATATTAGATGTTCTCTTCCTATGAGAATTCAAATTAAACATATACTCATTATATTATGAGGGATTAATCTCTTTTGTTAAATCCAACAACTTGCTGATCCAACAAAGTTATGTTATCATCAACTACATTTTTACTATACAAGAAATCTGACATGAACAATCATATTATTCTTAACTTTATTAAATCGAGTTGCCATAAAATTTATATTCAATATTGATAAAATTAAAGAATACAGTTATCTTATAATTATATTTATTACATAGCTAGATTTCTAATTGTGTGCTAGAACCCTAAGATAAAGTTGCAGTTTAATCTCTCCCTCTCTCTTTGTATATATATACATGCATATATAAAGTTTTATGTGTATAGAAAATTATCTCTCATTTGGTAGTGTATTTTTTTTATTTTTATAATATTTTTTATGATCTTATAATCATAACTAAAAAATTATTCTTATTAATTTTAAAGGGTATAAATATTATTTTTATCATCAAAGTCATTTCTTCATCATTTTTTCTATTCTATATACTAAAGGGACTTTTACGACTCTTAAATTGAAGTAAATATGTTTATACTATTTTTTAAAAAAAATTTCAAGAATGATAAAAAAAATTAATTTTGAGATCCTGAAGTATACGTACTTATCTTGAAATTTTTAACTACAATTTTCAGTTATATATTGACATAAACATGCTCTCACAATGAAATGAACATGTGCATGCAATGGGCCCACCATTCACTTTAAAGAGTGGTCCACCAGGTCATGTGTGTGGTTCGGTGGGTCAGCCCATTTGTTGCCCATGTTTGAAAATATGAAGAGGGGCTGTCAGTATTGTTTTTCCTCAAATGTATATATGCCCACATGAATGTGTGTATAAAAGCATTTTATATATCTTTTACTTTTTAAAAGAAATAAATGCACATACACAAACGTTCTCAATCAAATTCAAGCCATTGAATTCTATTACAAACAGTGGCAAAGGAACCGATATGATGGAATTTTACAGCAAAAGTTCTGTTCGAGTGTTCATCATTAAATATTTCCCCTTGTTCTTGTTGCAATACGTTTTCTAGAAAGATTTTTGTTTTTAATATAAACTATTTGATAGGTAATAATTAAATTTTTTTAAATATTACTCTTAATTAAATTTATTAATTATGGAAGAGAATGTAATACAAATTTAAAGATTTTTTATTATAACTTATCTATGCCTCCTTGATCAGATGAAGCAATTAGAGTTACTATTTTTTTGTTTGTTTCCTAAGGTATCTTCAGCAGTTATGAGATTAATTTTTTAAAGAATTTAAATACCAATTAAGGGATTGATCTCTCCTAAATGATTCTCTCCACACACACTTTCAATAATTGAATTTTGTAATTATGCTCATGGAAAGAAGGATGCTTGTGCTGGAAGGAGAGAATGTAATTTTGGAATTTTGTAAAACACAACTATTTAGTAAAATTTAACTTGTAATTTTAAAGTTGTGGGATAAAATTCTAACCCAAGGATCTTATTAGTATGGTAAATATTTTTGCAATTGTTTTTTTAGGTGAGGAAACATGTTCTGCTCAGTGCCAATCTAACTCGGCTAAATTTTTTAAAATCAAATATCAAATATAGGAGAGAATGTGTAAGAGATTTTCTAGAAAAGTTATATCTTGGATGCTGCTACAAAATTAAAGAATAGCTTTGACTCAAGCACATATTCTTTCTCCCATCTCCTCAAATCTCCTGTTCTCCTTGCCTTGTAATTCCATTGCTCCACTATCTTTTTATTTCTCTCACCCCTCGTGAAAACCGTCTTCTTCATCTCTTTCCTCTCTCACTTTCACACAATACAGTTTTTTGCATCTGTCACATTCCACAGTTCTCTTTCTTTCTAATACTTCCTTAGGTTCCATTCCAAACTCACACTCTTGTGCCGGCAATACTTTCTGTAATTACACCATAAAACAGAGCGTCGTCGTCGTCGTCGTCGTCGTCGTCTTCTCCTTCTTTTTCTTCATCCATGGCTGGCAACAAGTTTGCAACAATGTTACACAGAAACACCAATAAGCCGACCCTTGTTCTTGTCTACGCTTTCCTTGAATGGATTCTCATCATTCTCCTTCTTCTGAACTCTCTTTTCTCCTACTTAATTTTAAAATTCGCCGATTACTTTGGCCTCAAAAGGCCTTGCATATGTTGTTCTAGGATCGAACACATCATCGAGCCCAACAAGTGTACGGACAAGTCTTGTTTCAGAGATCTTGTCTGTGAATCTCATGCCTATGAGATTTCCAAACTGGGGTACTGTTACAATCATGGCAAACTGGCTGAATCCGAGGATATGTGTGAGGATTGCTCGTCTTCTTCTTCTTCATCATCATCTGAATTAGATTATGTTAAAATTTCAAAGAGCTTTGGTTTCTTTCCATGGATCCAGCAGAAGACGGTTATGATTCAGGACACTGATGATCGCAAGGCTTCGAAGTGTTCTTGCTGTGGGGTCCACTTGGAAAGCAGATTATGCCCTCCTTGTTTTGTGGTTAAGCCGTTGGATCATAACCAGATTCAGACTCTGATTACACAAGGCGGGATTGATGTTGATGCAGAGAATGATGAAGATGATCCTATCAGAGCGGATTCAGTATTTGATCATCATGAGGATGAAGATCAAAATGCTAAAGAAAACGTGGAAACTCATAAAGTGTCCAATGTTGATCAGCCTTGTGAGCCAAAAACTGGGGAAATTCCGCCGCAGCATCTTGAGTTCTTCATCCATGGCGATAATTGTAGCTTGATTCCTTTCGAACTGGTTGATTCCGCCATCGCCACAGAAACACAAAGTCGACATCGTTATAAGGTGGCAGAGGGTCAAGAACCAGATGATCGGAATGAAGATGTTATTTTGGATTTTGATATGCTTTATGGTGGCGCAGAAATTGAACCAGTTTTTGAGAATTGGCACACTTCAGGAGACAGTGTGATAAATTTTTCTTGTCGCAAGAGAGAACCGAAATCACCATCAGTATCACTATCTCTTGTTGAAAATTTGGAGCAGAATGTTGGTCCATCAATTGAAGAAAAACCTATGAATCATAATCTTGAAGCTCATGTGGAAAGCAGAGAAGGTTGTAATAATTATCTCTGTCAATAAGTTTACTAATCACTTGCTTTGAGTTACATTCTAATGCATAGTTCTAATATCTTCCTGTACTTGCAGCCTCAGAAGAAGTGACAGAAATGGAGGGAGATGAGCTTGAAACAGAAGTGTCAATAGGAACTGAAATTCCTGATCATGAGCAAGTGGATGAGTATCAATTTCATGATATTCTTCACGAGGACTCAAATCAACACATGCAAGAAGTTCCATCTACTAGCTCAGTCAGTTTTCATGTCCAAGATGAAAGTGGTAAGCATATACCTTCTCCTAGAACTTCACCTTCTGTGTCATATGGAGATAACAAATGACAAAGTTTGATGTGATATTTTTTAGAGAGTGATAAAATTGAAAGGGCTTGTTTGCTTCTTCTTCTTCTTCTTCTTCTTTTTGGCCGTTTCCACCTTGAACTTTCAACAATCTCTGGTGGTATGAATTATATTAAGTTTCTTCTTTTCATTCCGAAATGTAAACAACTAGGTGGTGACAGAGAGGAAGAGTTTGTAGAATTTCAAACCATGTCAGTTGAGACAAGCATGCCAAAAGTACTAAGGAACCACTTGGAATCATCGTTAGAGTCCAATGAGAATGAAGCAGAGAAAATTCCTGATACACCTACTTCTATTGAGAGGAAAGAATCAGGAACAGAAGAATCCTTGGACGGAAGCAGCATCATAAGTGATATAGAACCCGGCGATCTCACCATTGAGAAGTTAAAATCAGCATTGAAAGCTGAAAGGAAGGCCTTGAGTAGTATATATGCAGAACTAGAAGAAGAGAGAAATGCATCTGCTGAAGCAGCGAATCAGACAATGGCAATGATAAATAGGCTTCAGGAAGAAAAAGCAGCTATGCAGATGGAAGCTCTTCAGTACCAAAGAATGATGGAAGAACAGTCTGAGTATGATCAGGAGGCATTGCAGCTTCTGAATGATCTCATGGTTAAAAGGGAGAAGGAGAAGCAAGAGCTGGAAAGAGAGCTTGAACTATACAGAAAGAAGGTTCAGCAACTGGAGGTTAAAGAAAAATCAATGATGTCAAGAAGTGATGTAACTAACTCATCAGTTTCTTGCAGCAATGGGGAGGACAGTGATGGTATATCAGTAGATTTGAATCAAGAAGCAAAAGAAGATAATGGATTCTATGGCGAACAGAACACGAACACACCAGTAGATGCTGTTCTCTACTTGGAGGAATCTCTAGAAAACTTTGAGGAAGAGAGGTTGTCAATTCTAGAACAGCTCAAGGTACTGGAAAAAAAGCTTGTCATGCTGAATCATGAAGAAGGTGTTTGTCATGAGAATGGAAATGGATACCATAACCATGTGAATGGATTTGCAAATGGTCATTCACATATCAATGGTGGGAGGAAAATCATGGGTCAAAAAGGCAAGAGGCTTCTCCCTCTTTTTGATGCAATTGGACGAGAAGAGAATGGGGTGGATTTGAATTCGCTGGAAAATATTTCTATGGAAGAGGCTGATTTAGAAGAAGAATTGGATAATGTATATGAGAGACTACAAGCACTAGAGACAGATAGAGAGTTTCTAAAGCACTGTATTAATTCCCTAAGGAAAGGAGACAAAGGGATATATCTGCTTCAAGAGATTTTGCAACATCTTCATGATCTGAGGAACGTGGATCTCAGAGCTAAGAACATGGATGATAATGCTGTATAACGAGTTTTTGCTCATGTTTGCCACAAGAATAAAAAGGTGAGGTTCTGTTCTCAACTGTTCCTTTTCTTTTCTTTTCTTTTCTTTTTTATTGGCCATTATAATGTTAGAGAGTACATCTTTCAAATCTTGTTAGATATCTGATCTTCAAAGATTATATAGCTTCATTTTAGCGATTATAGAATGTTGAAACGGGCCAATTATAATGAAATCATGCTTTTGAATACTAAGTCATACAAAGAATATCAATATCAACAAAATCTACTAACAAAAATGATTGAAGGATTAAATAGAAAAATCATCAATATAGGCATCAAAATTTCTAGCAAATTACACTATTCATATATCATATGGTTGACTCTTTCCTCCTCATATTAATAGCATGTTTGTTTTCACATTTGAAGACCCCAAAATCATGATTTAAAATGTTTTTTTTTTTAGGTGAAACCAAACGTGCACTAATTTTTATATGGGACAGCATTGGTTGATTTAAAAAGTTGTTAAATGCAGACATGGTAATGTTAAAGATGATCCACAAGATGCAATTCAAGTGAAGAAGCACAGGAATACATGGTCCAGCTATAGGTCAAGTAAATTATAAGTCATATGGCTTCAACTTTGAACAAAAATGCGGAGAGGGGATTCCCTGATGGGGAGGGGAAGAATCCTGTACGGGTATTGCGCTGATGACAATGGTGGACACCAAAATCAAGTCTGGCTTTTCTCTTTCTGGGCTTTGGGTTAATGCAATAAGCCCAAAATTTTTGTGGGTTGTGTCCATCATCATCGCCTTTTTGGGAGGAAGGACGATGATGATCGAATCTGTAATGTACGTGTGTGCAGGGCAGAATGTATAGATTCAATACAGTATGTTAATTTTTAGTTTAATTTTATTGGAAAGATCTGAAGATTCCATTTTAATCTAATATAGTATGTTAAGTGGAACGACATCGTTTTAAAATCTAGATAATCTTGCCTCATGAAATGTGATAAAAGCATCCCAGATCACAAAGAATGTATTGTTTGGGAATTCAAGATTGCTCCTTCTTGTTTTTTTTTTTTTATTTATTTGGTTGCGTGAAGCATATGGTATTTTTAGGGGTGGGTTTCTCTCCTCTATTTTTTATTTCCACTGTCTCTTCACCGCAAATCTGAACCACTTAAATTAAATTTTTATTTTAAAAATTATCAAATTTAAATTTTCAAATCTAATTTAACGGTTTTAATATGTACTGATTTCTCATTTTCTCTTCAGGGGGAAAATTCAAGTCTATTTTTTTAAACCTACCTTGTATCGATTTGAGGGGACCTAATGGAGGCACGGACAAATTCAAATCGGTGTAGAATAGTACCATTTCATGTGGAAAATTTTCACTAATATCATTATACTCTCATAACTTGAACTTAAAACTCCCAATTAAGTTGGTATAATTTTTTAACTAATTGAATCAAGTGTTTGCTTCTTGGAAGAGTGCTCCCTCCTGTTCAAGTCCCAACTTGAGATTTTTAGGCCTTGTTTGGTATGCAAGTTTGAATTTGAAAGGATTAGAATTGGGATTAGGATTGAGGCTTTAAAAATTATACTTGGTATGGAGTACTAATTGTAGGAAATACTTTTCTTCATTTTATTTTATAATTAAACATAAATTATAAGAAGACTATAATACCCCTTATAATTAATAAAAAAATTGTCAAAACCCATCTCCTCTCTGTCACTCACGACCTCAACTCCCTTTATTGTCGATCACCCCATTCAACTGGGAGCAAATGTAGCAACGATCCTCGTCCGTGATGGATCTCAAAGATTTGAAGGCAAAATGTAGCAACCCTGTTTAACGCAAACTCAAAGGCAAGAAGGTAAGTAGACTTGAACTAATGGTGAAGGATGGCGAGAGGTAGACTAAAGGAGAAGGGAGGAAGATGATGGGAGAACAACATCAATGATGGAAGAAGAAAAGGAAGATAAAGGGAGAACAACAGGAGATAAATAGAAGGATCAAGGAGGAAGATGAACCAATTAATGGTGAAGGACGACGTCGATGCTAGACTCAACGAGTGAGAGAACGATGAGGGATAGGGTTGGGGGCACAGGCAAAGAGACAGGAGAATGGGTGTGAGGATGAGAGTAATTTAGTTTGGAAGAAATCAATCTCCCAATACTAGATGGTAGTGGTATTGGGTAATCCCATGTAGATGGGATTAAGATTGGGATTAAATTTCCCAATGCTCCATATCAAACACAAAAAGCTAGTACTAGTTAGTGACAATGCCAATCCATCTCTCTAATCCTTCATGCCAAACGGAGCTTTTAGGTCTAAGTCTTTCAAAAGGCAGGTATGAATGGATGAAGAAGGACTCCGAGAGACTATAGAAGCTTCCTAATGAAATTGAATTAAAAATAAAATACTATACCGGAAGGAGTGTGAGATGAGAGTTGAAAGGAAAATCTAAAGCTAAGGATCCTAAATTTAAAATATTTTTACAAAAAGCTCAATTTTTACCAATAATAATCAAACTTATACTTACATCTTGGGGCTTTCAAAAAGAACTTAATAATATTTTTCAAAAATATTCTTAATCAGGGGTATGGTTAATAAAAAATTAATTAATACACCATGTTAAATAAAAATAACTATGAAAAAGTGTGCAATTTTAAATACATTAAATAATTTATTACGATTGTAATTTTAAAAGGATTAAAGTGCAATGTTACCCCTAAACTACTTATCATTATAATGTTGCCCCCAAACTAACTAAATCGAAGCAATGTTGCGCTCGTCATTTAAATGTCCATTATTGTAGTTAGTGGACCCATTTTTCATGAGCTAACGCACAATTTTACCCTTTAACTATTCTCAAAAAGTAATGTTGCCTTATTGTTTAAAAATCATAAAATTAAATAAAAATAAAGTTATAATAATATTAAATATACATATAAATATAAAATTATAATAATATTAAATAAAAAATATTAAATGTATATATAAAATAAATATAAGAAAAAATATAAATTATAATTTTATAACTTATCAAATATAAGTAAATTTTGGTTAAATTATATATGAGTAGACTCAAAAGTATCTATATTTACATCTATGACAATCGACATCTTATAAAAAAATAGTCTCAAATCATATTTTATACACATAAATTGTTCAAAAATAAAGTTGGCTTTTAGTAGGATCGTTTTTAAATTTTTCTATTTTTTAAAATTTTTTAATATTATGTTTGAAACTGTCTGGTTTTCTGAAAACAGATCCAATTTTCAATTCAACTTCGGTTTCTAACTTAATAGCGACTTAACTCTTGTCCAATCTAGCTCAATCATGAAAATAATTTTTTGGTCCAAATTGAGTCATTAATGATGGCTTTGATCGATGGTTATAGATGCAAATGCAAATACTTTTAAGTCTATTTATATTTAACTTAACTAAAATCTACTTATATTTTTTTAAATTATAAAATTATAATTTATAATATTATTAATTTACGACATTTTATTAACACACTATAAATTTTTTTCTTGTATTTATTTTATATATACATTTAATATTATTTTTATTTAATATTATTATATTTTTATTTTTATTTAATTTTATAATTTTTAAACAGTGAGGACAACATTGCTCCTCTAAAAATAGTTTAGGAATAACATTGCTCTTCCGAACAAAATTTAAAGATAAAGTTATACCTTAACTCATTTTAAAAACAAGCCATTGCTACTATTTTGGAAGACCTCATGACTCATGAGGTCACTGGAGAAAGGTGTTGCATTATTTCTAAGAGAAGATTTGATTAGCTAGACTAAATCAGATATTTGAAACATGGTTAGTCAATAGAGGTGGGATCGGGCAGTTATGAAAGGAAAATATAATAAAAAAATATTTAGATAAATTAGATATATCATGTTATTTGTGATCTGTTTAATTAAAATATTCTATGTAATCTAAATAAAATTTTGTGTGACATTTTAATTGATTTTATTTTTATAATAAAATACACATTTAATTTATTGTATTCTCTCTATATTATTATTAATATCAAAATTAATTTATATTTAATGATATTTAAATGTCATATTTTAATTAAACAAACTATAAATAATATGATATATTCAATTTATTTAAGTATTTTTTAATGTAATACACCGTTTTGAGATTTGTCTCTTGTATGCTTATTTCTCCTTTTCTAGAAATTTTTACATGGACATTATATATCATATTATTTATGTTTTATTTAATAAAAACACATCATATAATATGACTATAAATATAAATTAATTTTATTATTAATGATAATAAAGATATATTATGAGAGAGAGTATGATTAATGTAGGAGTCAAGTCAATACAAAATTTCTCCTCTTTTTCTAACATTTCACATTGAAGCTTGCAATCAACCTCTCTTAATGCGGTCATTGAATGCCCCTAATTTCATTAACAACTGCATTTAATTCACTTCAGTGAAACGAAACTCCCTGTCCGTTTACCCTGACCCTATCTATAAATTATAGATCCACTTTAACTATCGATACCCACTAGGCCATACAAAAAATATATTGCTTCACTTTTATAAATATAAGTTACTACTAGAATCAAGAAAAATATTACACTGTCCAGTTCTTAATATGTTCTTAATATACTAATATGTAACTTTTAATCAATTTTATATTTATTAAGAAATGTTAGTTATTAATTTAAAATTATAACAAAAAATATGCAACTTTTTAAATTTATCTTTACATACAATTAATAATCATAATGAATTGTTATTTAGAAATTTGAACAATAATAAATAAACAAGGGGTATAATTTTTAAAAAAACAGCTGGCAGAAAAAGACAAAAAAATTTGAACTTTGCTTTATATTAAAAACGAGAGGGAGAACAATTTACTAATTTTGCCTATAAATTTAATAAGTTTTTAAATTTTTTTTATTAAATATATATAATTTAATAACGTATTTTTTAATCAACATTTAATAGATAAAAGTGAAAACTTGTGACAAAAAACTAATGATATAATTTATAAATAAGATAAAAAAGAAAAAACTTATATACTTAATCTTATATACTTAAAATGCTTTTTTTAATTAAATCAATACATGTATATCTATAATAAATTATTTATTTTATAATAAATATTTATTATTAATATATTAAAATTCATATGTCTTGATTTGATTGGATGACAATATATTAAGTATATAAGAGTAATTATGTAAGTCTTGCCTATAAAAAAATCACTCTTTTACCTCATAAATAAGACTGGATAAAATAGTTAAATGGAAATTGCATAATAAATAATCTTCTTAGTCCTCTTCATAAGTCACTTCTAGTATGTTTAACTAGAATTAAAGAAAATCTTAAACCTCATTAATTTTGTCTTAAAATTTTTTAAATTTTCATCTTTATCTCTAATAAATATTCTTAAATATCATTACTGTTATTTTTATTTAAAGCATTTAATAAGAATAAAAATGTAAAGAGAGGCATTGAAAATTGATAAGTACTCTATAAATAAAACTAAATTATTTCTTCTCTCTTTATCCTATAAATAGGATAAGAGGAGTAAAGATGTAAAAAATTCATAATACTTTCCAAATCTATCCATTTATTAAAATCAATCCTACATTAATTATAGTGACTCAATTTTGTTATAATATTTAATTTTATAGAAAGTTAAAATAGAAAAAAATATATTTAACAATCTATATATTATTACACTGGTCTTATATTTTAGACCAAGTAATTCTAGAAGAAAACGACTTATATATTATACTGGAACGTATTTATGTGCGCAAAATATTTCAATCACTCTAAATATACTTTTGACTAAATACAAATTTCACTATACATTATTGTTATCACATGATTTTATTTTTCAAGATTAAAATTTTATCCTACCTATGGAGTAGAGAGACTTAATTTGCTCTACAAGTCTTTTATTTGAATCTGAAAGTGCAACAATGATGAATAAACATTGTAGAGCGACGAGTTATCAATGATTGCATCTAAAATTATGAATATATTATTTTTAAAAAAATATAATAAAATATTTTTAAAATATATAAATGATAATTTGATTCTTTAAAATGTTATAATTTCTTTGAATTCTTTAAGGACTTTTTTATTATTAATAAATTTATATAAATTATTAAATTGCTCTTGTTAAAAATAAATAATTTACAAGTTGTGTTTAAATATTCACAATTTTTTTTATATTCACAATAATACAACAGCAAATCACAATTTCACATGTTAAATTTTTTATTTTATGTTGCATTGCTAGGAATATAAGAAAAAAATTTATGAATATTTAAACAAAACTTATAAATTATTTATTTTCAGTAAGAGTAATTTAATAATTTATATAAATTTATTAATGACAGAAAAGTTTCTAAAAACTTATAGCATTTTGAAAGACTAAATTATTATTTATATATTTTAGCGAGATTTTATTATTATTTTTTTAATATTAAATTTTTTATTGCCTAAAAAATTATGCTTATTTGAAAATTCGCTCAATTCAATGGGAAGGAAAAGCTTAATTATGAAACCGACGAGTACCCTTTGGGATACGCAAACCTGTGAGTTGTGATTCAATTGAAGCGAATAGCTACTAAGGCAAATAGGAAAATGCCAAAATGTAGCTTTCATATAACTAAAAAAATCACATTTTAAAATTTACTTTCTCCGATCTTATTTATAAAAAAATTTATTTAATTTTATTTATAAATTATGGTATTACTTTTTAAATAATATTTAAAAGGTGTTTTAAAATTATCTTTTATGAGAGAAAAAAATAAGATGACATTATTTTTTTTAATTTATTATATAGGAGCATATTTAAAATTATGTACATTTTTATTCCTTATATTTTGTTGATATTGATATCAATGATGTTGATAAAAATAACTTATAAAGAGAATCGAAGAAGTAATAATTAGTAATTTAGTATAGCTTATTCTCACACAAAAAAAAAAAGCACTCATTCCCAAAAAAAAATTCAGTGAATACTCTATAAAATATCTAAACATATCATATGTGAAGTATAACAATATATAAATGTTTATTTGTTGAATATATGCCTAATGCTTACTCTCTTTGGTTCTCTTTAGAAAGGCAAAGTGGTTCACTTTATAAGTCATTAGATTGATACTGATGTTTAATTTCAAATGAAATGTCTAAACTATTGTTAAAAAGTACTCCCTTCGTTTAAAAATATAAAGCATTTTTAATCGAATCTCACCCCAATAAAGTGCTTACGTACTTTCGAATTAACTCTATCTTTCTATATTTATCCATATTAAACACCTTACAATAAATATAAAGTCATTCATCAATAGGGATATTTAAAAAAAAAGGCAATAATTACATATCGAAAGTCCAAAAATATCTTACATTTTTGAACATCTAACTTATAAAAAAATATCTTATATTTTTAAATGGAGGGAGTAAGAGAGAGAGAAATAGAAAAATGATATTATATAGTTTATTTACTTTTTAATGGTTATGTTTGTAATTTTACTAAATTTTATTTTTTATACTTTTATTGTATTGATATTAATGAGATTGATAGAAATAACTTATAAAAAAAATCTTAAGAAGTACTTTGTAACACACACATGTATACTTCTCTTGATCTTAATATTTTTGAGCTTTTTGTAACTTTTCAAAATATTTGAATATTTATAAAATCAATAAAGTATTTTTTTTCTGTTTTATCTTCATTAATAAAAAAGAGAGTATTTAAGTAGTTAAATATAATACTACTATCTGGTAAAAAAAAATAAATTTTACTACATCTACATTATTATTTAGCCAGGCAATTTTTTTTATTATTTAGTATCTTTTTTGTGTGTGGAAAAAACCATAGAAGTGACAATTTGTACGAATCAAATGTTGTATAAAAATATAAAATACACATTTGTTGATAAGATCTCAAATTAAAGTCTGTATAAATGCCAAAAATATTTTTAAAAGAATTACTTTCAATTAATTCTATTAATATTCAAATCTAATTCAACCAAATAATGATATTAAAAAAAACACATTTACTTATCCTTGCAATTACAAAGCCCAACACCTAGTTTGAAAATGCAAAATTTGTAATAAGTCACCCTATTAATTAAATAACAAAGATGTGATTTTTCTCTTATTCTATGCAATTTTTATTTTTATAATTCTTACTACTTCATTAGGTTTTATATAATATTTTAATTTATACAATTTTAATAATTTTTATATATTTTAGCAGAATTTAAATATTAGAAAAATATTTCAAAATGTCTTAAAATCATCTTCAATTTCCTAAGCAGAAAATATCTAATACAGGTATGTATGTATAGTCCAGCTACAGCAAGTCAATCACGCATCGGAGGGTCAACAACAGGCTTGATTCAGTGTTTCTTTGGTGAACACGGCTGAGATTTCTGTACGGAAGAAACTTGTTAATTAGTAACACTATAAAACTCACATTTCGTCTCCTCCTTTTCCATCTGAAATCACCGATTCCTCATTCATTTTCATTTTCCCAGAAACCAGTTTCGGCTGAGCCTCCAAGACAACCATCACATGTCTCCCTGAACTCGTCCTCTCTGTTTCTGCTTCATGGGCTAGTTTTCTTCCTCACGCATCGTGCAAGAAAAACTATGATCAAATCCAAAAACTTTCTTCGGAGTATTTTGAAACTTCTCAAACTCGGTTCAAGCAGAGGTAAATACCAAAATCCGGTTCGCGATTTTCCTTTCCTTTCCTTTCCTTTCTTTTCTCTCAGTCTGTTTTCTGGATGATGATAGAGAGACAGAACGAAGACGACGTTCAGAGGATTGCTGCCAAGGAGCAGAAGGTCTTTTCCTACGAAACGCTAGTTTCTGCGACGAAGAATTTCCATGTTCATCACAAGCTTGGCGAGGGAGGATTCGGACCAGTTTACAAGGCAAGATCTGTGAGAAATTTTACTAATTACTGTGTTTGGTTGCTGGGAAAGTTCATTCATTCTTCATCCTGCAATGTCTGAGAATCTGGAAACAGAATACTAAGGTTGAAAACCACGATTGAACTCAATCTCGAGCATTTTAAACCCAGAATGTTTTGTCATGTTTGCATCCACTTCATAATACAAATTCTGTTTTTTTTTTAATTTAAAAAAAGTGGGAATTGTGGAACGGGACAGGGGAAGCTAGAAGATGGGAGAGAGATAGCAGTGAAGAAGCTATCGGTGAGATCGAACCAGGGGAAGAAGGAGTTCATAAATGAGGCGAAACTGTTGGCGCGTGTGCAGCACCGCAATGTGGTGAATCTGTGGGGCTATTGTGTGTATGCTTCCGAGAAGCTTCTTGTCTATGAGTATCTGCCTCATCAGAGCCTTGACAAGATCATCTTTAGTAAGTCCTTCTCTTCTCACATAATTGGAATGAGATATATCTGATATTTTTTAAAGCAATGAGTTCAAACTATAAATTCAGGCGTTTGCAAGTTCAGTAATTTTTATCGTAATAAGACATTTAAGTTATCAAAATGTAAATAACTGTGTGAATTGAATATTGATATTTCCAGTTTCATATTTTAAAATTTTTAATCATCAAGTTAACTGTCATTGATTAAAAAAATCACTATAAAGTTCCCGTACGCATTCAAATTCAAACTATCTAAAAATCTGACCAAATATGGTTGCAAAGTCATACAATGGTCATGTTACCTTGATTGAGTTAAAAGAAAGGGACACCATTTTCAAATCAGTGAAATTTTGATCCACATAATACTTTATTTATAACTAAGTCCCTAAAGACTTCACAATCATCTGTTCATTTGGTGAGATTTTTTTTGGTAATTACAATGCTTATAGGAGATTTTATAATGATTTTTCCATAATTCATTTTCTTGAATCCTGACTATCATCTACACCTGGTTGATGACATAATCGCTATTTGGAAAAGAAGACTTTCTAGTTTCTATGTTCATAGGAGAATATAAATATATTCTTATTGATACTTTTAATTTTCAATTTTAATTTCAGTTTATTACAAAACCAGCCGAATGCACTGAGCCCTCTCTCTCTTTTTTTTAAACAAAAATAATATTTTATTTTAAAATAAATAGAAGACAAAGCGAAAACAAATTTTTAAAAATATCTCAATTGACATGTTGATGTTTTAACTTTTAAGTCCACATAGAGTACAATTACTTTTCTAGAAAGTAATAATATATTTTAAAGAAAGAAAACAGCTCCAAGTTTGGATGTGGAGCTTCCGTCTAGGCCTCGTCATTAATGATGAATCAACTTTCTTCTTTTCAAAGGAAGGATTGATGATTCATCTGTGGAATCGAAAGGATAAGATTTTAAAAGTTCCAGAGTCGAGTGAATTTCGTATTCTAATTTTCACCTTACTCCCTCTGATTTTATTTAAAGTAAAAAAATTTTTAATTTTATTTTAAATCACATCATTAAATTTTTATCATATTTTTTTAACTCTTCATTAAATATTAAAAAAATATTATTAAAATATTTATATTTAATAGAAGTAGAATTAAGAATTTATTAAATTTTTTTTTATGTTAGTGAAGTATGTTAAAGATAATTTATAAATAAAATTAAAAGGAAATGCACTAATTAATATATTTACGTCTCCATAATTTGCTTTGCTTCTGTTTTCTGAAATATTTTATTTTTTGGGACAACCTCCGAAGCTGACTGCAGTAGAGACCTTGACTTTTCATACTTAAATTAATGCCATGCGTTGCACTTGATTATTTTTGTTTTTTTCATCTCCAAAATCAAACCGACCTTTTGACCCATCTTAGCGAAGCCATGACGTCGCCTTTTATATTTCAAGAAAATTCTCATCCTTTTCTTTTATAAGCATATGCACATTTATGACGTCACCACAAAAAAATATCAAAACCCCAAGTTCTGTTCCCACTATTTGGTGCTGCATTCAAATAATATAATTTTGAGAGATAAAAAAATATAAATAAGAAATGAACTACTACTATTTGTTTTGCTTTGTATGTTGATGTAGTATATGTGGGATAAGAATCAAGAATACAATCTATCAAATAAATTAAAATATTGTGATGATTGGTGAAACTAAACTAATTCACTATTAATAATAGGTGGTTATAGATATATTATTTTATTGAATTATACTTCCATGAGTTAGTTAATTGTTTTTAAAATTACACACTCTTTTTATATTTACTTTTATTTAATAGGGTATCTCAATTAAAAGAATTTTATTAATTACATCCTAATTAAATGTATTTTTAGAAAAACATTATTAATTGCATTTTTAAAGACCCAAAGTGTGCTGTATTTTTTGACATGATATTTTTAAAAAAAAATGCCCTATAATATTGAATGAAGGGAATATAACATAAACATTGCATAAATTCGTTGTGTTGTTATGCTTACAGCTAAATATAAGCATGAATTATGCGACACATGTTCAATTTATCAAATTTGTGTACAATGCACAAGTATTTAGCTAGTTAATCTTTATAGGATAGACTGTGATTGGTGTATACAAATGAATGAATGCAGAATCAGACAGGAGAAAAGAGCTTGATTGGCAAAAGAGGTTTGGAATAATAACAGGAATAGCTAGAGGATTGCTTTATCTTCACGAAGATTCGCACACCTGCATAATTCACAGAGACATAAAAGCTAGCAATGTTCTACTTGATGATAAATGGAATCCCAAGATCGCAGATTTTGGCATGGCTCGTCTCTACCCTGAAGATGAAACCCATGTCAAAACTCGTGTGGCTGGAACCAAGTATGTATACCTTTCAACTTTTTTTAGACTTTACCTTGTCATTTGTAAAGCACTTTATTATTTACTTCTTATTTAGAGAAGAGAATCTAAACCTAACGTTTATTGAAGAAAATTGTACATAGAAATGAATATTATTGAGAATTATTAATCCATGCTTTAAAACTTGCCAGACATAATAATTTTTTGGAAAAACATTATTTTTAGTCTCTGCACTTCACTTGAATTTTTATATAGGTCCTTACACTTTCCTCTGTCTATAACATTGGTCCCTACATTTTTAGAGGAAGGTTAATGTGGCTCAAACGGTGTTAATAATACTAACATGTCAATTAACAACGTTAATTTTGTACTCATGTGTCAAATTGATGCTAACATGAAATTTTTTAATAAGCAAAAATTTTAAAAAAATCTACATTAGATGAAATAAAAAGGCTAACCTAGACTCTTGAATGATTAGTAAAATGTACAAATTCCATATAGGCTTTTTTTTTTAAAAAAAATCCTATTAAAATTTTCATGTTAACATTAGTTTGACACGTAAGCTCAAAATTAACGGTGTCGATTGACATGTCAGTATTATTAACACCATTTGTGGCATGTTAACGTTCCTCTAAAAATGTAGGGACTAATGTTAAAGATAGAGAAAAGTGTAAGGATCTGCAGAGACCTATGCCAAACCTGAACAAAGTGTAGAAACCAAAAATAATGTTTTCCTTAATTTTTTTCAGATAATTTTATAATGTAGCCTAAGATTTGTTACTTTAAAACTCAGTGGCAGGTGATCCATGTTTTGGTTATATAAAATATACTATTGTCATATTGTGTTGAGATTGATCAAGTGATATGTTACTTTTGAGGGTTTTATTTCTGTGAAGAAAACTCTGTGTAACGAAACTTATCAATTTAACAGTGGATATATGGCTCCAGAATATTTAATGTATGGACATTTATCAACAAAATCAGATGTATTTAGTTTTGGAGTTTTGGTGCTGGAAATCATCAGCGGTCAACGAAACTTATCGTTTAATAACTTGGACATGGATGCACAGAACCTTATAGAAGGGGTAAGTTTTGAATCTGATGTTTAGTACATTTACATTGAAGAAACTAAGCATATAAGTCTTAGCTATGAAACAACCAATAAGCACATTTACATTTACATTACTAAAAGGCTTTGTGGCCATTTTTTTAACCGTGTCATAGGCATACAAGCTTTACAAAAAAGGACGAAGCTTAGAAATCATGGACACTGCAATAGCAGCATCAGCAGTGCCTGAACAAGTAGCAATGTGCATTCAACTAGGCTTGCTTTGCACTCAAGGTGATCCCAACCTCCGCCCCACCATGCACCGGGTGGTGGTGGTGTTGTCGAAGAAGCCAGGGCACTTGGAAGAGCCGACAAGACCTGGCGTGCCGGGTTCAAGATACCGAAAGCATCATAATCCTTATGCATTGTCTTCCACAGTTGGTAGTAGTTCTAGTGGATCTCGTTCACATGTTGGTGTCTCAAGCAATATCTACGACACTAGGTCAACTGCCACGGCAACCACAGCTGCCACAGCCGCAACCACAACCAACTCAGCTTCTGGAGAATTAGACCCACGTGGAAAACGTGTGATTGAGGGTTAAGGTCATAAGCTCTTATTACAGTTGATGGAGGGGGATATTTTGTCATTCATTTTGTAAAAAAATATGTAAGTGTTAGAAGATTCTTTGTCCTTAGGTCATTGAGAAGGGATGTTGAGAATTGAGCTCAATGGCTGTAAAATTTTGTTTTGTTTGGTTTCCCTGGTAAGAATCATTCAATTGAATCAATTTTTGTATTACATGAGTAATGGAGAAAATTACAGGACAGGTCTCAATGAAATTCATACACAGACGATTTTTTGTTTTACACGGCTTGTCATACAGATACAACTTGAATGATGTATTTGAGTCATATTCATCCATGGATGGTTGGGTTAGGTTTGGTCAGTTATTAGCTTTTTCCAGTGATTGTAGTCTAATTACGTTATAGTAACTTAAATTGATGATTTTTTCTTTTTACATAATTTTTTAAATTTTAACTAAAACTAAATAACTCAAAAAAGTTGTATATAAATTTTTATATTTTTTAACTTAGTTTAATAAAAGAGTGTATGGCACAATGATAAGTGTGTATAGTCATAGCATACACAACTAATTTTAATTTTAATTTTACCTTTCGATGCCAGAGTAAGCCTGGAGCTTTTGGTCTCTGTAAGAAGGTCTGGTTCTTGTTCTTTTCATTTGTTATCTCACTCTTTATCCTGTGTTGTGTCTAATCCATAATCTCCAACTTCATCTGTTTTCATTGAATGATCACTTCCGTGATTTGATTTTTGAGTTTCCAGCCTTTAAAGGATTTGGATCTCTCTCTCTCTGAATTTCCTGTTTTGAGGTTTGAATTACTAGATCATATTAAGAAACGAGACCTTATCAATTATAATTTGACAGGAGAATGGGTGAAATTCCATGGATTCCTCCCATTTTTCCTTGATTTGGTGTTGGGCTAATCTTATTGACGCATTTGAATTTTTTTCTTCATCAATTATAATTTGATCACTATATTGATTGGAAGAAGAATCAGAACTTTTTTAATAGCTTGTGATTTCTGGTTGATGGCAGATTCCCCGATGCTGGAAATAGTATAATTGGACTTGACTTTGCTGGATTCAAGCTAAAGATGCTCCAACAATATTTGGATGGCTTTGTGATATTAGCTTTGTTAATTTAGGTTGTTAAATATTGTGATTTGGGTTTGCTAAAATATATATATATATATTGTGATTGGGACTTTGGATGGTATGCTGCTAAATTTAATTGATCGATTTTCAAGCATGGATTCTGTCTCCCCTCCCCCCCCCCCGGGGGGTAAGATTCTGCCAAATTTATTGTTTTGTTATTATTGTATGGAGTAACTGCAGATGAAAATTTTCGTGAATAATTGTACATGTTGAACTGAGATGTGTACAACTTGTTCTCTTGCTGAAGCAGATTGACACAAATTGCTGTACATTGATGCGCATGGGTGGATACCTTTTGAAATTGGGACAATCCTATGCACTTGGACAAAAGCAAGACTGGAAGATGTCAAAAATTGAGCAATGCAAATTGAAGACCAGCAAATTAAAAAGGAGATGTCAGAATGAGAACATTTATTAGTTTTATTTTTTGATGAAATTTATGAGTTGTATTTTATTTCCATGTAATATTTCCATGTAATTGCTGTTATAATAGCTGTACAAAGTAGTTGTAAATGAAGATTTCAAATGAATAAAGTGGTATTTATTCATTTTCATATTCTCATATACAGATATTGCCTCACATTGGACTCTTGCACATTTCATACATTGATTGGACTCTGTTGCACAGCTCAACAAGGTATAACAATGGCATTTGGCTTCATAGGACAGCAACCATCTACACGTGCAACTTGCAGCAATGTCCAAAGCAATCAGCCAATCAACATAGGGCAAACTAATTTCCATTTTTCTCAATCAATGTGAAATAAATTACAATGTTCTTCCCCCGCCCCCCCCCCCGGCAATATCCAATGCACTTAAACAGATTACTTGTACTGACGCAATCAATTGCTAAACACGTCCAATTACAACATAATCTTGGTTTTAGGGATTTTGGGTTAAGCTGTAAGCCAAGAGTGTTAATCACTAAGGCATCCATCAAGGTAAGCATATACTTATCCATTCTTCATTTGAAATTGGAACCATTGGATAGTGATCCATGAGCTTCTTAGTTGATTCAGATGGTGTCCAATCTTCCAATCTATTTCTAGTTCTTTGGCAAGGGATTCATTAATGCATCAAGTGTCCTTGGCCTCTCTGATTCCATAGCAACCATTGTAACCAATGAAAGAATATTTGTAGGAAATAGTTGCTTTATATGCATTAATACCCTTCTCGTGTTAGCCTTAGATGTAACAGCATTGTTTTCTCGTGAATTTTCTGCTTGAATCTCCGTTTCATCATGTGTGTCTGAACTTTTGTAGTTTGCTGAGCTTGATCTTTGTCTGCCATTTCATCATCTGGTTCCATAACATTTCTGTTTAGCAGATCCACTTCTTCTTTTGGAAGCAGGAGGATCCATGCCGTCCTTTAGATTTAACGTGGCAGAGAATTTCAAAATTTGGATCAAAGAAAAACTTGGAGTTCATTGAAGCAAGGAGTTAGAAAGGAGAGCCAGGAAGAATCTGATTAGAATCAAGGGGGGAGAAGAACCTTCTCTCCAAAAAAACTAGATAGGTGAAGATTCTCACACTACTCTTCTCTATACCGAATCCAAAGTCCGTTGTGCTTTTGAGCAAAAGAAGATGCAGGGCATGCTCTCTGTGCCTCCCAATCACTTTTTCCCACATTGTGAATTTTGCAGGATATGAGTGGCGAGGGCTTCAGTATAAAAGCGAGGGGCACGCATGGTGCTAGTCGCAAGGCAAGGGTCAGCATTGATGATTCTGAGAAAATTGAAGCTCGTGGCCCACATGGGGGCTTGAGCTTACCCGTTTGTTGACCGGTTCTATTTTAGCCTGGTTTATGTCTTAATCTAGGCTGAATAGCGTTCAACTTGGGTGATGGTGCCTATCAGAGCGATATGACTGTCCAGTTTTATATCTGGATAATGCAAATTTAAAATTATTATTTTTTATTTTAATTTTATATTTATTAAAAAAATTACATAAATTTATTCCTCATTTATTTAAATATAGTTAATTTAAATAATTTAATTTAATATTAAAAATTTTGATAATTTTTATAAATTGATTACTCAGATTTATTTACCTGCAAACTTTTTAACTTGCAATCTTTTAAAAAAAAATAATTTTTTCCAAAAGTGATATTGAGGAGACTATCTTTATTTTTTAATATTTTATTTATTAAAACAAAAATTATAAAAAAATTAATATTAAATAAGTACTAGATAGCCAATTTTTTTTGCAAACGCCTTTGTCTGTCGTCAACCATGAGGATTCTATAGCCTGGACCATTAGTTCTTCTGGGAGGTATTTGTTTCAAGAAGGTTACAATTGCTTGATACGGACGAATCGTCATTTTCAATCTACCCCGTGTTTATCCTGGAAATTTTTTTGGAAAATGAAATTACCTCCCAAAATAAAATTATTGATCTGGAAAATTTTGAAATAATCCTTACCAACAACAGATTGGTTTTTTTTTTTTGTTTTGGGACCAAAGAGAAGATTCATTCATCAGGAATCAAAACAAGAGTCTGACAGAGGACATCAACAAAGCGAGAAAGCATAAAAGTCATAAGCCAAAAGCATGGCAAAGACCTAAACAAAACAAACTAAAAGAAATACAATCAGCCAATGCCTTCTCTGTCCCGATTGATCTCAGGTTGCTGAATTTCCTCACCATCTGCCAAAGAATCTCGTTGCAGGATATTAATCAGAGGGAGCGGGGGTTGGAGAAGCCAACCACTTGAGATCACACCCTTTAGAGAGGAGGTAGCCATCCAGTCGGTTACAGTGTTTTCATCTCGTTTCACAAACTAGAAAAAGAGAGGGGGCTGAGATCCTAAGGCAGCAAAAAGATCAGAAAGTATCCCATGGTGAGGAAGGCCACGCACAGCTTGAAACATTGTGACTAGTAAGGGCATTAAATAGTTCCAGACAATCCAATTCCACCATAACATGATGGTTAGGAAAATTATCAGCAATATTTATGGCCCTGGCACATGCTAGTAATTCAGCCATGAAGCTTGAGTCAGCTTGAACTTGTTCACTCCAACCTTTAGGATAATCCCCAGAGTCGAATCTGTAGATGATTCCAATTGCAGCTTTGCCTGAGGTTGAAGAGAAAGCTCCATCACAGTTAATTTTTATGATATCTTGTGCAGGGGGCGACCATTTAGTAATAGATGCAACAGGAGTAGGGCACATTCTAGAATCTTTTAGCTTGAGGGCCCAGAATTCTTGAACTACAACATGAGTAGTCTGTAGAACCTTATAAGGATCAATTGCACTAGCATTGAAAATTGAGGCAGACTTGGTTTTCCAAATATTCCAGCAAAGGCAAGCTATATAAGCTTTATCATAATCCTTCATAAGAGGCTCATCTAGTAAAAATTTTGTGCACCAAATCTCAAAAGATGAGATTGCACAGGGGTTTATAATGATTGTCAGCAGAACCATACCATACTTTCTTGGCCCACTCACACAACAACAACATTTGTTCTATAGTTTCAGGTGCAGTCTTGCATATAGGACAAAAGGGGTTAGAGGCACATTTTTGGAATAAAGAGCATCTCTAGTGGCTAACGAGTGAGTAAGGGCACGCCAAAGGAAATGTTTTATTTTAGGATAAATATGAAGATGCTAAATAGATTTCCAAAGGGCTTTAGGGAAAATTGTAGAGGTGGATGGATTGGTGATGGGAGGAGTGTAGGCTCTTGAGTACTCCAATCTGTAACCAAGCTTGGGGAAATATTTCTTAGTTTTAGAACTGGTCCAGACCATTGTGTCAGATAAAGGAGTGCAAGGTATATGTAATTTTTTAATGCATTCTAAGGATTCTTCAGTCAACAGATGATTAACACTATTCAAACTCCATGCACCATCAGAAATCAGGTCTACCACCTTTAAGGTCTTATCTACAACAACATTATCCTTCTTAATAACCTTGCATTTAGGTAAACTGGGAACCCATGGGTCTGTCCATACGCAGATATCACTACTATTTCCAAGTTGAATGCATAAGTCCTTTAAGAGAAAATCGCGACCTGTGAGAATACTACTCTAAGCCCAAGAGGCTTTAGGACTGCAACTTGCCTCAAGAAAGGAGCAATTTGGAAAGTAAACTGATTTTACAACTTGTGCCCATAAACGATAGGGTTTATTCAGCAGACACCA